GTTGTTTGGCGGGTCCGGGCTGGGGATTCGAACCCGCCACCTTAGGTGTACGTGGCTGGCGCCTTAGCCGGTTGAGCTATAGGCGCTGAGCCGAAAACTGAATTTTTTAAAAATCCATGCAACAGTACAAGGACTACAAGGAAGAACATGGGGAAACAAGAATAGTCATTGGTTAATAAGACTATAGATGAAATGTTTTTAGAATTTTGTTTGGTTTTTGAGACAGTCTCACTCTGTTGCCCTGGGTAGAGTACTGTGGCGTTATCATAGCTTACAGTAACTTCAAACTCTTAGACTCATGTGATCCTCTTGCCTCAGCCTCCCAAGTAGCTGGGACTATAGGCACCCACTGCCATGCCTGACTAGGTTTTTCTATTTTTTTAGTGGAGACAGGGTCTTGCTTTTTTTAGGCTGCTCTTGAACTTCTGAGCTCAGGTGATCCACCCACCTCAACCTGCCAAAGAGCTCAGATTACAGGCGTGAGCTGCTGCATTAGCCTGGATTTATAGTATGTTGTTATTATTATTATCATTATTATTATTATTATTATTTGTCCCCCTTGGTAGAGTGCTGTGGTGTCACAGCTTGCACCAACCTCAAACTCTTAGGCTTAAGTGATTCTCTTGCTTCAGCCTCCCAAGTAGCTGGGTCTACAGGCACCCGGTACAATGCCTGGCTATTTTTTTTTGTTTTTTGGCTGGGGCTGGGTTTGAACCTGCCACCTCCAGTAAATGGGACCAGTGCCCTACTCCTTTGAGCCACAGGTGCCGTCCCCCCCCTTTTTTTTTTAAAGAGATGAGGTTGCTATAACTCAGGCTGGTCTCGAACTCCTGAGCTCAGGCAGTCCATCCTCCTCAGCCTCCCAGAGTGCTAGGATTACAGGAGTGAGCCACCATGCCCATGCCTAATATAGTATGGGTTTTTTTGTTTGTTTTTTGAGACAAGAGTCTCAAGCTATTGCCCTGAGTAGAGTGCTGTGGCTTCATAGCTCACAGCAACCTCCAACTTGGGCTCAAGTGATCCTCTTGCCTTAGTTTTTCTATTTTTCATAGAGACAGGGTCTTGCTTTTGCTCAGGCTGCTTTTGAACTCATGAGCTCAGGCAATCTACCCAATTCAGTCTCCCAGAGTGCTAGGATTACAGGCATGAGCCACCGTACCTAACCTATAGTGTGTTATTTTTATTAATAAAATTCTTAAGAAAAAGTAGGTAAACCAGTATCAGGGTTTTGAATGTAAAACTTTTTTTTTTTTTTTTGAGACAGAGTCTCAAGCCATCCCCCTGGGTAGAGTGCCGTGGTGTGATAGCTTATAGCAACCTCCAACTCTTGGGCTCAAGTGA